GAAGAGGGGGGCTGTCAGGACCATCACCCACAGTATTGGTAAGGCCCTTATAAGTTTCAGGAAATTATGATAGCGTTAATACTGACTTCCTAGTATCCAAAGGATCCATTTCACTTCTGTATCGGTGCTTTGGATACCACTCGGGAATTTAACTCTCTAGGAACACTGTAAACCACTGGTGGACTATCAAGGAACAGATATATCTGTGAGCACCCGGTCCTGGGCTGTTTTATCCTCAATCATTCTGATATTGGCATCATCCCTGTCTACAGATGAGTCAGGGTCCACCACGAAAGCAGGAGGAGAGTCAAGGAGCATGCTGGGATTAAAGGTCAAGCTGCAACTTTCCTCTGGATCTTTCCTCTGGTCTCCCTGCCTCCCTCCAAGGGCCCTCACCTGCATTCTCTTCACCCAGCTGGGTACTGCCTGGCACTCAGAGAATAGTGTCTCTCTGGGGCCCTGAGCAGAAAACTGCAGCGGGGAGCCTCGGGTTTAACATTCCTGACCTGGGGGGAGGGGCCGTGCCCGATTCAGCCGCATCCAGAATTCAAAGACTCCTTTTCCATCCAGTAATAATGGAAAATAATCCTGCTGAAAAGCATGCCTCCGGAGCTGGAGGGGGTGGGGCGGGGGGGGCACTTCTGTCCACACTCAGCTCCTATGCAGCCCATGAAAACTGATCTGAATGTTGGGGGAAGGGGACGTTAGACCCGGGGACAATAGGTACGGACAACTGACCTAAGACCAGGGAAGAACCACGGAGGGAGGCCCGTTTGGCTGGGGGACCCAAAGGAGCAGAAGTGGCGGAGGAGCCCTGCGTCAAGCCGCCAGCGGGGCCACTCACAGCTGAGCAAGGTTGCCCACAGGAGCCAGGTTGTTCCTGCAGCAAGCTCGGCCCTGCTGTGTTTACTTACCGATAAGACAGCCAACCTCTACTATATTTAGTGCGTGAAAATCCACAGGTGTTTGATTCCAGGAGCTGCTTTGGGTTCTGCGCTTTCAGAATGCCCCCCCCCCCCTTCTCGGTTTTGCTGTTCTAGGACAGTTGAGCTGGTTTCTGACAGCTGCGGACGCCTCCCCACTCCAGCCCACCACACATGCCATGCAGCCCACAGGTCGTCCAAGTACCTGCATGCTACGCACTCTTGGTTAAGAGAACAGGGGGCTGTTTCTATTTCGGTTCTAATTAAAAACCTCACACCGTACCCAACGGAACCCTGTTTTGGTTTGGTTTGAACTGAGCTGTCTTCGTGTTTCTATCAGAAAATGTTGGGCAGGGGTGCTGTGAGACCATTGGATAAAAGTGCCGGCCACCAAGACCAGTGACCTGAGTTTGACCCCTAGGACCCGTATGATAGAATAACCAGCTCCCACAAGTAGCCCTGTAGCTTCCTGCACTCATACACTTGCCACACACACACACACATACACACACTCACCATAAATGTTATTAAAAATGTCTATTATATTTTGGTGTTACTTATTACATTGTGTGTATATGGGTGGGCGGGTGGGTGAGTGTGCCATAGGGCATGTGTGGAGGCTAGAGGACGCCTTGCAGGAAGAAGTGTGGGTCTCAGGGATTGAACTCGAGCTGGCAGCCTTGGCAGCAAGCACGTTTACCAACCGAGTCATCTCACCTCTCTTAACTTTGGTTCTAACAAAGTTCAGTCAGTTGTTTGGGCCTTTTCCCTCTTCCTCTCAAATGCTTCTGCTGGAAGGTAGATGTGTCTTCCACCTGCCTCCCCGAGGAACCCAACACACAGTTATTAAAAGCTCCGGCCCCAAGGTCAACCCTAGCATCCATCTGGCTTTTTGGTCTCAGCTGTACACAGTTGCTGTCTCAGAGTTGTTGGGAGGGAGATCAACACTAAGGCTTCACACAGGGCCTGGAACCTGATGACTATTCCCCAAACATATCAACCTTCAGTAGGTGCCCCAACATGATTCACAAAGGGACAGTTGTCTGGGCATAGCTACTGGCCGGTCAGAGGAATGCCTTCCTGCCTAAGTGGACACAGATGTATTACCAGGCAACTCAACACTTCAACCCCAGAGAGGGGGTAGCTTGCACATTTGCACACAGGGTAGGGTTCATGGAGGGGCTTCTGGATGGCAGGAGTAGGGAAGACTAGGGCCTTACAGCCAAATGTTTGTGGCCACCTCCTGTTATCCGATGGGAATATGACCATCTGTCTCAGGCTTTGAGACCTTCAAGCTAACACATACAAAACATGTACTCAGAGAACCCTGAGACCCTGGCCAAGCTCAGGGGATTCCATTTGCCCATGGCTTCAGTTCCCAACAGACTTCTCTTAGGCAAAGCCTCATGCACCATCCATGTAGAAAGAATGGAATTGTCTAGACCAATCTTGCTGAGTGTCCTCTTTCACACACACACACACACACACACACACACACACACACACACACAACCTCCCCACCTAAGTTCCTCAAGCAAAGCAGGTAATCGTTGCTCTTCCTGCTTTTCTCCAAGGTCCCTGCAGTTGGACTGCTTTAAGGGAAATGCCCCGGGGGAATTGAGAGACCCTGAAGAGGTAAGTCTGGTAAACTAGGTCAGGAACAGCATAAAACCAATCCTACTGACACGGCCGGCTGCCCCAGATCTTTTGGCACTGCTCACAGAAATCTAAGAAAAAAATGCCCAGTCAAGAGGCTGATCTCTGTGGAGTTCCTCTGCCAGTGCAGCCAATCTCTAGAGAGCATTTATCCCTGAGGTCCTGAGGTAGAGAACACTTGGAGCAGGAGGTCGGAAGCCACCACTACAGCGCCAGCTCTATGGCAGACACTTGAAGAGTTAGGTGGTCACTCAGGCCTCACAAATCCCTCCCTACACTCTCATGGAAGGAGAGAGGACGAATCACCATGGTGGCATCAGGTTCCTCTTAACATCTTAATCTAGACATAACCCTCAACATTTGGTGTGGGAAGTCCTTCTGTGTATGTGTTACTACTATTGGCTAATAAAGGAGCTGTTTTCAGCCAATGACTTAACAGAATATAGCCAGGCTGGAAGACATTGTGTGATATAGATAGATAGATAGATAGATAGATAGATAGATAGATAGATAGATAGATAGATAGATGTTATATAGCCCCTACCCGAGACAGATGCTGGATGGAACCTTGCCGGTAAGCCACATCCACATGGCCATACACAGATGGGTTAGTTTAGGATATAAGGGCTAGCTAAAAATATACTTAAGCTATTGGCCAAGCAGTACTGCAAATATGGGTTCTGTGTGATTATTTCGGGCCTGGGCAGCCGGAAACGAATGAGCAGTCTTGACCTTCCGTAACTATGTGTGGAGCTAAAGTCACTTACCTGTGGGTTGCTGGAATACTGTCATCAACAGTCAAGCACTGGCCTTTGCCATGGTAAGCCCTCTCAGGTCTTGTTAATGTCGTCAGCATCTTCCACAGACAGGAATCCTAAATTACAACCAAGTAACACCGCTGTCCCACCTAGATACAGGGTGGCTGGAGGAGCCTCGCTCCTGTGCGGAGGAAGGGACACTAATGATCACTGTTAGGTCAAGGGCTTGTGATGGACCTGTCAGCTCATTCTGGGGGACTGCATCCCATCATTTCACACACGAGCTATTCTACATGTAAATACCGGTCCAGACAAAGCCTGGATTCAAATGTTTCTGGCACTAGAACGAGGCATTACAACACATAGAGGTAAATATTCAGGATCTCGCCTGTTTGCTAGTGGCCTGAGTCCCAGTCCTCCAGGGACAAAAACACCAAGTTCAACATCTGAAGCAGTAAACCTTTGCCAGTTGTGTGGGAGGAGGGCAAAGGAGAGCCAGACACCCTAGTGTCCACAATGTAGATGAACTGACGCAAGCCAGTAAAGGACACAGGAAGGGGGAGGCATCAGGGCCTGGTACCTGGTAAGCCAGAGGAAGTGGGACAAGGGCTGACACTTAGCTGAGTTTTTAGAAGCCATCTAGAGTGCAAGGGAAAGGACTGTAGTCTCTGAAAACAGAGATTAGGTGGAACAGGAAGGCTATGATAGCTGCAAGGTATCCCTACTGCTGCAGGGTTGGATGCAGCATCCACTGACATGTTTTAATGTACAACAGGAATGCAGCACTTTTTTCTGAGGGTCAGAGTTAAGGAATGTTTCAGAAAGATGTGCAGTACAAGTGGGGAGGGCCCACAAGGGAAGAGGTAAGGGTATGAAAGACACTTGCTTTTTTGGTAAAAATATTAAGAGTTTTGGGGAAAAAATCCATCACAGAAGGGAGGCCTTCTAAAACATAAGCTAAGGGTGCAGATCTGGAGCAGTGGAGATCAGACCAAAGAAATTAAGAGGTGTCTAACCTGCAGCCCAGAGACCACATGCACCCCAGCACAGCTATGAATGTAGATAACTGTGTCATGTCACAAGTCAAAGGGCTGGGCACCCTGGAGCAGAACTGTTTTAACCCTTTATCTATCAGCCACATCCTTTTTCTATATGGGTATTTCTTAGAGTGAGGTGAGAGCCACTGCTTAGGATGGGTAACTATCCGGGGTCTCTTACTGACATGATCATGGAGCCATGGCCACTAGATAAAACCAGGTGCTGGTGAAGCCATATTATTTTAGAACACCCCGAGGCTGGGGATGTAGATCACAGGTAGATGCTTGTCTGGTATCCTTGAGACTGCAAGTTAGATCTTCATTTGCAATGAAACCAGTAAGGGGAGACATCACTTACAGGAGGAATTATTAGCCACTGGGCTTGATCTGGGGTCTGAGACTAAGATCAGCCTAAATTAGCCAGGTACCTTAGAAAAGGGATTTAGGGCCTTTGGGGTAACCACACCCCTCCCCAACCTGTCATGGTGCTGGCCAAAGTGGACAGTGGTAACAGGCTTTTTATCCCCATGTCTTCCTCAAACCTAAAATTCACCACCAAAGACCCCCCCCAAAAAAACCCAAAAAACAAAAAAGGATCATAACTGACAAGATAGGTTTTTTTTACACTTTTAAATATATCTTTATTTCTCAAACTCAAAGCTTTATTTCATCAAGTTCTAATACATTTGCACTGATAAGAAATCTCATCTGCATCAAGTAAGAAGATGAGTGACCATTACCAAGGAGGAAGAACTAAGGAACACTTTGGGTTTATGCAAATACGGAAACGGATAGCTTCCGGTGTAGTCCAATGGGCATTTTTATTTTCATCCATATTAATTTGGAAATAAATAGATGCTTCGGGAAAATTAAGTGTTCGTGCATACATACACACAAAGGTCAGGTAGCTGGATTCTCTTTTGTAAAGACCACAAATCATGTTAATCAGCTCCTTCCTCTTTAGTGGATGGTCACCTCATCTTCCTATGCAAGCACACATGAGAATTTGCACCAAATAATCTCAATAGCCCAGGCAAACTCCAGAACTCTTGTAAGCTTATAAAGTATTTTTTTAAAGTGATAGGTAAACAAGATGAAGGCACTTGAATTCACAAAAAAATAAAAAGTAATTTTCTTTCCTCGGAGAGCCCCACAAATAATCCTGAGAGGTCGCCAGGATGTTAAAGAGCCTCTCCTCCACCCTCTAGATTCAATTGGTTAAATTAGACTACATTCCAAGATCGGCTGTGAAATTCTGTCTCAGAATAATGATGTAAATCCAACTTTGAAAATTCGGAAATCTTTCAATTTCTAGAACCACCCCCAAGGGTTTTCCCCAATGTAGGGTCCATTAGACACCCAGGAAGCAATGCCCTAGAGCCATCAGGACCGCCTCATGCTTGGATAGTGATACTTTAGCCCCGCCTCTAGAAGATAGCATTTGAACTAAGACCAGCAGTGTCCTGACACAGGGCCCCAGCCTAAGAAAAGATCATTAGCAGTGTCCTGAAACAGCATCCCAGTAAAAGAAAGAGCACTAGAAGAAAGATCAAAGTTGGTTCCGAAAGGCACAATTTCCCAAAACTAAAGCAGTACTGGGTAAAATCCTAAACCACCATGACGGGGCTAGCGACAAACCAGCTAGAAGGCGAGTAGACTGTGGGGCTTAGCAAGGCAACTCTTGCTGCAATACCACAAGGCACAGATCCACACACAGCTCACTAAAGACACAAATTTTCAGTTAAGTCAAACAGGAGGGGGAGAACACTGGAAAGCCAAAAAATAAAAAAAAAAGTCAAGAACCAATACAAACATTTTCCCTACTCAACTTCACTCCTCACCAGATCCTAGGTGTAGGCCATGCCTCCCCCAGTCCACAAGCAGTCACCGGGAATGTGATTTAGAGGCGTTAGGAATCGGAGTCTCAGCTCAGCAATGCAATGACTGATCAGGGAACAGCATCTTCTTGCCAGGGTAAGGCGGAGGGTGAGCCTGGAGCTCAAGGCCAAGAACCAAGCTTGTGTGTGTGTGTGCGTGCGTGCGTGCGTGCATGCGTGCACTCAACGGCAAAGGCACTGTCTTCATCCCAGCTGTCACTGACTCTGAAGAGCAGACTGGGAGAACGGACTCAAAAGAGCGTGCACCTGCCCTTCAGTGCCCTCTGCCAAGGCCAAGTCTCACATTACCCAACACACACACACACACACACACACACACACACACACAAAGAGGAACCGCTGGAGTCACTACAAGTAAGGGTGTCTGATACATATGTGCAGCACAGTTTCTGAAATACAGGGTTCCCTGGCCTGTTTCTGGTTTGGCAGAAGGTTCACAGAGCAGGAAGACACACCTCTAAGTCCAGACACACACAACCTAGGAGTCGTATCTTAAAAACAGAGCTCTGGTCAAAGCAACTTTTTACCATGATGGTTCTAGAACACACATCAATTCTCAAACTACAAAACAGCTGGGCAAGCGAAGAAACTACCAAGAGGGCCATCAGATAGTGGTGGCTTACAATGCCTGTGTCTCTCCATCCTCAGGGGACTATGGCCAGACTGGAGGGGGGAAAAATGTATGTAAAGCAGAAAGAATTCCAAAAAGACACCGGATGTTTTTCCAGTGCCCCACTGGTCCCCGACCTTCTTGGTCAAAGCAATTCTGATTTCTGCCTCTGTTAGCAAGTGCTTCTATTGAGGGCGGCTCCAACCCACTTCAAAAGCTCTGATTAAACCAACCTATTTCTGCACAAGCGTCTTCTCATTTCACTACAATGGCAGCATCCTAAGGTCATGGATGACCGATGATTTTCAAAGCTGGGTTGGCTTTTCATTACCTTCCAAAGCGGAAGCAGCTCAGGTCCCCTCACAGAACTCAAAGCCAGGAAATTCACAAATAACGAAGATTCACAGGGCAGTAGAAACTAGTTATACTAAGTGGCTTCTGGTGACCTAACTTAATGTGGAGGCCAGTGAAGATGCACCTCAATCAACTCTTAAGGGGAGCAATATAGCACATTCCAGAAGAAACTTGAAAACACAGCACTAGAAAAAGGCCAGCCACTTCATTTGTACTAAACCTTTTTGCAAGAAGATAACTAGGTTGTTTAAAGCAGATATAAAGCAAGCGCCCAGATCTTTGAATTTTTTTTTATGGTTGCCGGAAGTCAAAACTGAGCTCATGGATCTTATGGAATGACTTTAGAAATCAAGCTTGCTGGCAATACCGAATGCCTTTCCCACTGGTGTCCCAATGCCATGCCTTCTAAACTATCCCACAGAAAGTTCCAAAGGGCGAAATCTCTCCCCTGAACCTTCTAGGTAAGGTGACAGTCACCTCGATCTCTCCCCGTGGCCTGCTGGCTTTGGACCAGCTAGTAACACTGTTTTCCTTCTAAAGTGCAGAACATAAACATAATGCTGAAGTCTACAGAGTAACAAGGGTCATTCGTCACTCTCTTGACTCCTCCCCAAACACAGCAGAGTGATGTCAAAGCGCCTTGGTAGCTAGACCACACAAGGCCAGATGACGCTAAAGCCCTGCTTCCCTGCAACTTGGAGACGGGAAGTGAAATTCAAGAGTGGGCCCACTGTCACCCTTTTCTCCGGAAATTCCCGAATTATCCTGCTGTGAAAAATATATAGGGAATGAAATCGCTATTTTAGAAGGGATTGGAGAAGAAGGGGCCAAGGTACTCCAGCAAAACAGCTGTCATGCTGGGAATGATGTCTAAAAAAATTGGGCTTCCAGTTAAACCACGGGAAGAACCTCATGTCAGATACGACAGTGACTCTAAACACAACACAGCCCTTACTCTCAGAAAGATCAAACAAGAGTCGGTCATCAGAGAGCCAATAAAGGGGGGAAAAACATATCATTCAATAAGAACTCCTTATAGAAAAAAACAAAAACAAAAACAAAACATTCGTGTTTCCTATTGACAACCGCCACCCGCCACCACCACAATTCTACTTTAACATTATGTTCCACATTTTATTTTGTTTTCAAGTTACATTTCAAGAAAAGGTCATTTTTTTTTCTCTCCACAATATCTCAAAACTCCTTGATATAGCCAAGCATCTACCATAAACCACTTCCAACCAGATCTCAAGTCTTCAGCTATTGGCTTTGGTTTATTGATGAATGAAATTCTCAGCTCTGCGGACAGGGACTAGACAGACACACTCAGTCCCGTGAATGAAAACTCAGTCACAAAGAGCACCCTGGTGGGTTTTTTTTATCACTTTGGGGGCCGACTACAACCAACACAATAGGAGACTCTTGGCACAGCTTGCGGGGTAGCGGCTGAGAATCCTAAAGGAGAGCCTGCAGAGGACTGTAGGCTTAGCCAAGAAGAGTGCCTCAAACACTTCTCAGATGCCACCCAATTCTCCCCACCTCAGAGACTGCGCAGAGTTCAAATCCCATGTGCTAATGTCTGGGAAGGGACACGTTAGTGACTATCTTAGAAAGGTGGAGAGAGGTCACACTTCCTATTGCATCTTCCAGAGTGGCACTGTGATACCGGGTCCTTTTAGGGTTGGCTCAAGATAGTCTGAGGACCTAGTCCAATGGGTTCACAAAGAAAAGCAGAGTCAGAGCTGAGCTCCCCTTTAAAAAGCCAAACACCTACATCTATAGGAGGAGGCTCTCCTACCTGAGAGCCCCTGCCCTAAATGGGTTCCCACTAAGGAAACCAGCAGGTCTTAAGGTTAGTTACAGGGCAGCCAGGTAGGATAAGGCTGGCTGTAGGTAACTGGAGGATGGGCAATGTAATAGTTGTTGAAGTTGCCGTCGCTGACATAAGGAGCCGGCTGGTAGTAACAGGTGACATTGGTGGCGCTGGGGATGATATTTTGCTCTGCCAGCACCCGCAAGGCCAGGAGAGAGATGAGGTTCAGGGTCTGCCTGCGTTCGTGCCCCATCAGGCACACGGTGCTTTCATTCACAACCCTGCGAAGAATCATGAGGTAGTCGTACTTGCTTCTCTCTTCTTCGGCGAAGTGGTTTTGAAGGTAGGTCTCCAGCTTCCTCTGCTGTTCCAGGATGTCTGGGAAGTCGATGAAAAACCTGGAGCACATGTAACGCTCGAGAGTCTTGATTTCCTCCTGGTCCGCAGGCCTGAAGTCCCGCACCAGGAGGTTGCTGTACTTAAGAAGACCCCCGCCTCGGATTTCCTCGGGGTTCTTGGTGGCGATCAGCCGGTTCTGGAGATGGTCAAAGGCTTCCTCAAAGTCCCCGTACACACTCTCCCCGATCACGGTGGGGTGGAAATGCTCAGAGATGGGATTATTGGAGCAGTCATAGAAAAAGAGCAAAGAGTCTAGGATGATCTGAAAGGAGTCCACGCTGAACTCAAACTGGCGCCGGATGGAGTCAACAAACTTGAGCTCCACGTTCCTGCCGTTCTTGTTGGAGAGGGAAATCAGGCTCCAGCGGTCTGCGTCTGTGCAAACCTTCACCAGCTTCTGCACATAGGCCTCCTTCAGGGTGACCGGGCTGATTTTGAGCTTGTTCACGCCCTCCGGCAGAAAGTTCAGAAGGGAACACAAGACCACATCTCTCACCAGCTGAAATTCTGCCTCTGTGGGAAGAGCCACGTGAAAGATGAGATCCAGATCTTTGCAACCCAGGCCGTTATCTTTGACCAAAACGTGGCCAGCCGCAGAGCCATTCAGTCGGACGTCCTGAACCTTGATGCCCGCCTCCTCCAGCCGACTGCGGACAGTCTGGACGATGTCCTTAAGGGTGATCTCCAAGGTTGGAAAGTTTCCCCGTCCATGGATGGGCACGACCTCAGTCAGGACCTCATGCAGCCGGCTAACCTGATCCCAGTTGAGCACGCTGAGGGACTCACAGTCCCTGGTACTGCTGCCCTCCTCTGCCATCTTGGGGGATGTTCTGGCCAGGGGGAGCTGAAAAGGGGTGAGAGACAGAGTTAGGATTCACGTGGGCAAGGCAAAGCCAGCGGAGGAGCTCAAAGGTACCAACTGATCACCTTCCTGTAAAATAGCCATCTACAATGCCTGCTAATCAGCATGGCGGTGAACACCAAACACATTAAGCACCACGAACGCACAAGCTTCATTCTGCAGCAGGGTGGATGAGGGCATCGCTTTGCTTTGTTATTATTGCTGTTGGTGATCTGCTTGTCCTATGTGGGGGAGGGGTGGAGAAGGCTGCTTTGTTTGAAGAAAAGCAGACAGACTAACCACGTCACCCAAACAACATTAAAGAGCCTATAACAGTGCAGATAAATAGAACCTGTTATTGTGGGATATTTGTGCACTGTGTGAAGATACACTGCTGTGATTGGTAGTAAAGAGCTGGATGACCAATAATAGCAAGGCAGGAAGGAGGTATAGGTATATGGCAGAGAGCAATGTAGTAGATGAATCTAGGCATGAGAGCATCAGGGAACAAGTCAGACACACAGAATGGGATAGAGGTAAAATGTAGATTACTAAAACTATGGATGACTTGAGTTATAAGAGCCATTTAAAAACAAGCCTAAGCTAAAGGCCACGCTTTCATAATTAATAAGTCTCTATGTTATTTGGAAGCAGGCTAGTGGGATGGAGAAAGACTTTCTACAATGTGTGTGTTTTCCTAATTTTCTCTGGTTTCTATAGAAGTTACTTCTGCTTTTAGCTCCCTAACTACATTTTAAACCGGTAGATACCTAAAACGTACTATCCAGTGCAACACAAACACACACATGCACGTGCACACACACACGCACACACATGCACACACACACACATGCACGTGCACACACACACACACACGCCACTGCTCCATTTGTTGCACCACTTCCTTTTCATACATGGGCCTAATCTACCTACAACAAATACTACATCATCTTGGACAGACCAGAGCTGTTTGTAGGACGACAGCCGTGGTCAACCAGAAGTCAGATCAGCTTTGCAGTTGAGCATCCTTCAGCAAGGATGCAAAGAGAGCCTCAGGGCAGGCGAACTTCCAAAGGCCTTCCGCAGAAGCATTCCTTGAAGCTCCTTTAGGGAAATAAAGTTAAAACTGAATCCAAGCCGGGAAAGAAAGCAGTTCTCATACTTCGCACGCCAGAACCACAAAGTTTCCCAATAATTGTGTGCATGTGTTCATGCAGCATGCCAGGGACTGAACCCTGGACCATGAGCATGCAAACAAAGTGCCTACCAGTAAGCTACACTTTAGTAACAGGGAAGTACATCTTATTTTAAAAAAGATCAAAATGATGGCCTACCAGAAATCCTAATATATAAAAGCAAAACATTGGTATCTCAGAAACCCAAAGAGCTTGTGTCCTCACGTTAACTGGATGTCATCTAGACAGACACAAGTTGAAACAAGAGGTCTTGGTGCAGTCTCCCAATTCCACCAGGAATGAAAGGTTTCCCCCTGCAAAGTTCTATGCAGACAAAAATTTATCCAGACCCAGTTTCATTGTTTGGAAGCTGCCGCTTTTTAATGCACGTCAATGCACTTTCCTTGGGCTCGACATAGATTTTGAGCCTGCCCTGGTCCAGAGATTTGTGGCTGTAACAGTGCCAGAGTCCCATTAGTCACATGGGGATGAGCTTTTACAGCACCCAAACAGTACCAGGGTCCCACTAGTCATGTGGGAATGAGCTTTTACAGCACCCTAACAGTGCCAGGGTCCCACTAGTCATGTGGGGATGAGCTTTTATAGCACCCTATCACAAAGATCGTTGACAGTATAATACTCCAACCCAAGGTGGTGTGTCATCTGCACAATTCTGGTGGAAGGAAGTCAATACAACACACAGACAAAAGACAGACTGTCTCTGTTGGGGCCAAAAGAAAATCCACGAAAGCGATCAGTTACAGAGAGGGGACATAAGATAACAAAGCCATGGTGAGCTGTTGCTGGAACAACAGAGGAAAGGAAAGCAGCGTATGGCTAGAAATGGCAATAATCTGGGGGTGTCAGGAGCCTTTCAGGTCAGCACAGTAACACACAAGTTCAATGTCTGTCAATTAGCTCAGCTGGAAATGGCCAGCCTCCCCAGGATCAAAACGGTCTCTAGTGGGCTCTGGGGTGAGTGTCCCTCCACTTGCTATAGAAGAGCATTTGTCAAGGGGAAGGTAAAAGAGTCCGCAGCTATTTAGACCATCTGAGGGTAGCCCACCCCGGTGATAGACAGCAAGCACAGCCTGCGATGCACACCTAACATCTATTGTGGCTGGCATTTGCCTTCAAGCCAGATTTGGGACAGCTGACTCTCTTCTCTGAGCTCACTATACTTGGTGGTTCTTTTTCTTTTTTCTTCTTCTTTTTTTTTTTTTTTTTTTTTTTTTTTTCCGTGATCAGTATCTATACAGTAGACGTGTCTGGACAGACTCAGGAAGGTATTATGGTCTGAGCCTTATCTGGAACACAGCTAGAAGCTAGACCCTGCAGTCTGATGAGGTGGGTTTCAGTCAGGCCTGTTGGCTGAGTGGCGTTATGCTGTGTGTCACCTGTTAAACTTCCCAAGGCTCACAGGTTTGGCACAGGTCTGATAAGTCACAATGTGGTCAGCACATGCGATGCAAAGAAAATATTGTAAAAAGGCTCCAAAAAGAACCCTAGTAATGTTACAGCATAGAATAACTGCAGGAAAGGCCTTTGGTTCAAGCTTTAAAAAAAAAAATTAAAAGTGCCAAAATAAAAGTTATTTATATAGGGCTAAAGTCAGAGCTGTTCTAGAACATGAGAGAAGGCTATGTGGGGACCACAGAGAACCTAGCAGTCACAACTCTCCCCTTTGGGGTAAGAAGTATATGTGTGAAAATCTTCACACAGTTTTAAGTTGGCAGCAAATTTGAAGTTGAAACCTATGTTAGACTGGGTATCTGTAAGGGCCACATGAGAGAAGGGGTGGAAACCGCCCGAAATGTTCTGGAAATGGAAAGGAGGTAACCAGCTGTAAGAGGGGGGAAAGAGCCGCGAAGATAGGAACTGCAATTGGAACTACACAAATTGTTGGGACAGAATTTTCAAACTACGTAAATCAAATACATATGAAGATTTAGTATAAAGAAGGAAGTGTTTCAAAACAGTAGAGGCAAAATTATGCAGGGGGGCTGAGATAGGAGGACTTTAAGTTTCAGATTAGCCTGGGCTAAATAGAGAAATCCCAACTCAAACAATAAACAACCCATAAATAAAAAAATGGTGCTGAGAAACAAACAAACAAATATCTGGATCCTTCATTTATATATTTTTAAAAGCTGTCAGAAATCTCCTGCTAGAATAAGATCTAGTTGGTTAGGACAGGGACTAAAGACTAAGATCGAGTTCAGTGGTTCTCAACCTTCCTAATGCTTCACCCTTTAATACAGTCCCTCATGTTGTGCTGACCCCCAACCATAAAAATTATTTTCATTGCTACTTCATAACTGTAATTTTGCAACTGTTATGAATCGTGATGTAAATATATCTGTTTTCCGATGGCCTTAGGTGACCCCCGTGAAAGGTGACCCCAGAGGAGTCCTGACCCACAGGTTGAGAACCACTGATCTTGTTGGTTGGGTTGGAACTAAAAAGAACTTGAGGAGTAACTAAAGAAAACCCAGAATTTCTAGACAAGTTCACACAGTAGGCGAGCCTTGAAGCCTTCTTAGACCACAGAAAACCAGTCACGAAACCAGGCAGCTTTGGCTACACAAAAATTAAACTATTTACCTGGTACAAAACATTCAGAAGGCATACGTAAACAAACATTCATAACTTTAGGCAAAGTATTCATTTCTTTAGTAAGGAAGAAGTCATAAATGCAAGACCCCAAAAGAGAAATAGGAAGGAGTATAAACGGTGGCTCGGACACAAAATACTCAACCTCACTCAGAGGGTGAGCAACCTAAAACCCCAGAGCCTGGTTTTCACCCATGGCGGCAGCTCAGTTCATGTATGGGACAGCAGACGCCTCTGGTGCACGGTCCCTGGGCTCTTTGAAGAGCTAGGTGAGACGCTCAACTTTCAAATTTCACTATCCTTTGATGTGACCCTTCTATCCAGTCTCTAAATTTTAGGCTAGTTGCAAGTATGCACAGAGACAGGCATTGGTGGACAGTCAGGAGGCTGAGAGGACACATGGCCAACAGCAGAAGGGGGTGAAATAATTTCACGAGTGTGCACAGCTGTGCACAGACGCCTGCAGTTGTTCAAAAGGAGGGTGCCTGCGCTGTGTGTAAGAATGACTCATGAGTGGGAAAGTGGAAAACCTGTGCACACAAAACTTCACGCCTAAACAAGCACACACACACCTCAGTCTCTACTGAGCGCCATCTTCAGCTTGGCATGGGAAAGGAGGCATTTTGTACCCTTCGGACTTAGACGCACTCACTGATAAAAATTAAAAATCTCATGAAGCACATTCTAAGATCTTTATCTTTTGAGAATTCTACTAGGTTGCTCCCCGGTGTCTGATTTCTTCGGTTCCCTTCCCTGCCTCCTTCTCCTATCTGTGCACCAAATCAATCAAGCCAATTTGGAAGCTTTCCCTGCTGGCCTCTGCAGGGGATGCGGGAAGAGGGGGACTGCCTTCTGTCAAGTTTCTACCAAACATACTCTAAAATAAAAAGACATCCATTGTTTGTGTTAAAAGAACAACTCAAAGTAACAGACCTGTTCAACTCACACTATCTACCCAATGTTCTGTATCAAAACACTTTTTCAACCATTTCCCAGGGCAGCTACTTCTCACTTCAGATCTGTCAAAGCTGCCCTTGTTATGCCCTTCCGCCCTTGCTACGCCGTCTTGCTGATTATTAGCTAACAGTGGCAAGAACTTTTTTTTAAGGCAGTATGTACATTTTCAGGAACTCAAGAGTCTTATGTTGGCATCTTCTATATGAATTTCTTTGGATAGAATTATGAAGAGTGGAGTAAACTCTGAGGGGAAAAATG